TTCAAAAAAGTATTATAAAATGTATAAAAAGTGAACGAGATGAAATGTGTAACGTATTTCCTTATATGGGTACGGTCCTGCCTGAGGTTATTCCATTACTATTACGTCAACGTATTAAAAAAGTGGTTGACATGTCGATCACAAAATTTTTTTATGCCTGTGTGTTTGGCAATGGAGTGTGCATATGGAGCTGAAGAGAGAGGAGACCATTGGCGCAGTTATATCATTATATTCTCGTAAGTATTATTACCTACATTAATCATGCACATACTTGTAACGAGTTATTCACATTATAATCATACGTTCCCAACCCAATCAACCTTCCCAATGCATATTTCTCATGCGTCAACTTTTGCATTCATTCATAATTAATCTCATCCGTCCCTTCCGCAAACACAGCACCAACCCAAACGCCGACACTGACACCAACCTCATTAATATCACCACCTAACTCCATTGCGCTTCCTTCTAATTCTATACCCTCATAACACCTCTGTTCGTCATCGCCATCAACAACTCAGCATCATTGACATCAACGTCATTGTTGTCATTCCTAACATATGACTATCACTGTCCCGGCTATAATCTTTAACTTCTACACGCGATTTTTCTCTTCCAGAGAGTGTCTTACCAAAGGATTTCGAAAAAGTCAACAAAAAGCAAACCTGCAAGACAACAAAAGAGCTCGAGAGGCGGCTGAACCATATATTTTAAAACGATGTGATAACCGTGGAGAGTTTTTACATAGACGTGGAAGGGACGATTCCGAGGACGTCATAACGATGGATTTGATTATAATAAGCAGTAGTGGATCAAATGAAACACGTGAATCGAGCGGATGTTCAGGACGAGGTGGAGGTTTTTCGGTATCAGCAGGAGGGCAGAAAAGCAGATTACGAAGAAGTCGTCGTAAAAATGCAGGTCAAAAAGAAACAAACCGATTATATTTCTCTCCACCTTCGCAAGTGCACATCGAAACCGATGTGTCGACTCAAAAACAATTCAAAAACCCCTTGCAGACAATCATGGCCGACTATGACTAATACTCCGAGTGATATTACTGTTGATCATGCTCCTTTACAGGGAAACGAAAGAAGGTGTTATTATTATGTTGATTAGAGCTATTGAGACTACGATTTATTTGCCTTACTAACGTCTCATTTTTGTACTAATTCTACGATTCTTCGCGATTTAAATAGCTCTATGTTGAAATGAGCTATACAAGGTCTCAGTAATAGTAGTGCTAGGGTACCTTATTTATTATATAATTTCTGGATATTTAGTTGGGATCTCCTGCGATTTTTATTTATTTGCTGATTCAACAGTGCATATGGTGTTTAACACTGAACGTAAGAATATACGTTAACATTAATCGACCATCGATATCTAAATATTCTGGGCGGCTGCAACATATTGCGTAAAAGTAGCTTCCTTGACGACATAGGTATATAATAATAAGTTCATAATATTAGAATTGGTGCCAATAAGGCGTTAGATATGGAACGTAACCAAAGATTGGCCAACTTAAAAAGTCTATGAGTGATTTCTCTCACAAACCATGGCAGACGCCGAAGGTGACACGCAACAATCTCAAAAAGACCTGCCTTCACCGCATTCAACTGGGGCAGTGACCATCAGCAAGAAACGGCAAAATTGTCGGACAAGTTATTCGATCTTAATGAATTTACATTACGCAGAAAGGCAGCTGACGCGAATAATGGATTGTCTGTCCCTAGTGGTTTGAATACAAAACATAAACTAAAATGATATTCGATGGATCCCAGAAAAGAGGTGCGAGGTTAATTGGAGCTGTTTGACAGATTGCGTTCTCTAACCCAACACCCCTACCCTAACGAAGGATGCAAAGCCGACTGCTTCCCTCCCTTGCAAGCTCGCTTTTAAATTTGTCTACACTAATAAAAACAAACTGCTGATCACATTCAGCACGTGATTAATGATACATTTCTCGCACATTCCAAAGTGGCTTCCCAGCATAAATACCTCGTTGCGAGTCTTTGTGAGTCACCTTCCCTCGCGACTCGTTGTGTTGATGCTGAACTTTTACGCACGACACCTTGGCACTTGTCTCAGAAGAAACCTGGCTGTGAGCGCTAACAAGCGTGCCCACCTGCAGCTTTGCTCTTCACAAGTGAAGCGTCCATTGGTTCATCAAAGGTACTATTTGTTCACGCTTGAATTTCTGTTGCGAGAAAAAAAGATATTAGCTTTTATCTTTGCGCCTCATTTACCGAAATTCCGTACTTAGCTTTTCAGGAGCTCGGCTCTATTCGTGTCAAGTATCTAGACTGCTCTGGAAAAATTCGTTTAGTACAGCAACAGCCACCGACATGGGACCTCCAAAGGCTTGGTTCAAACTCGTTGATCCTGAGAGTGCTTGGAGTCAAGTTCCTTTGACAGAAGTTGAAAACGTAGATGACCTAAAAAAAGCGATCAAAAAGGAGAGAGAAAATGCTCTGAAAGATCATGACGCTGCTGATCTCACTCTCAAAGCCACAAACAAGGTCGAAGATGTTGATGTTAATCAAGCAAGAGAACTGGATGCACGACAAGACCTGGCATCCATCCTCAAGGACTTCAAAGCGGCAGTACCGGATGACGTTACTTTAATGCAAAAGTCCTTCGCCGAAAACATCCGGCTTTTTGTCTTTGCTCCTGGTAAATCGCACAATCCTGCACTGTTTTATCACGTATTGCATTGACTTTGCAGACTTATTTATTAATAATCTATAAATGTTCACTTTATTTTTTCAACTAATGTCATTCTTGCCGACAGTTGAAGGTAAATCTGATTTGAATATCATTACTGGTTATTTATATCAGGATTTTAATATGAACTTTACTATTTTCAGTTGCAAAGAGAAAAGCAGAGGAGCTAGGTGAGAATGACATGAATGGCTTCTATCTCATTTTATCACACTAACATGTACTTCTGATTAGTTCTTGCTTCCGTGAAAAGAGCTAAAAAATGGCATGTGAACAGTACCATTTATCCAGAGATTCGCCCTTTCTGCTATTATGCAGAGCAAAAGATGCAGAACCAAGAATTGATTGAACATATTCTTGAAGGCCAGTACATACGATTGTATGGACCACGAGCCTCTGGGAAATCTTCCCGTGTGTGGGAAGCAATGGAACAGCTTGAATCTCAAGGTTACCAGTGCCTCTAGTAAGTTTGGACTTGTAACCAAGAGTTGATCAACTTTCTCAATGTCATACTAATAATAATTACACAATTTTGTTACAGCACAACACTTGAGGATGCAAATGTCCGCAATGAGGAGTCCTATTGGAAGTCACTTAATGATGGTTTTGGAGATGAAGCTTGTCTTCCAGTCACCATCACTGACCCTCAGAGCTTTCGCAAAGCATTTAGTCCAGCAAGCAAGAGGTGGAATTTACCTGTGATCATTTTTATTGATGAATTTGACAAGCTCCATGATAAGGATTCAGCAGATGCCTGCTCTTCAGCCTTGTCTTCAATTCGTGCAGTGAGGAACGACAGAGGCAAAACTGTCATACACTCTATAATCTCGATCGGTACATTTGCTATTCTTGAGCTGGACCAAACAAAACAATCACTATCACCTTTCAACATTACTGAAAACTTTAAAGGTACGAGCCTTACAGCAAAGCAAGTTGAGGATCTCTTCAAGGAATATTCCAAGACAGAAAACATAACTATCGATCCTATGGTTATTGAGGACATTTGTGCACTTACCAATGGGTATGTATGCCATGAAGTTATTGTGGATTTTGGTAAATAACTCATTTGTGATTCATTTCTACAGGCACGCAGGCCTTGTTTCCCTTTGTGGCCGTGCAATCCATCGCTTCCTTTACCCTGAAACTGACCCAAAGATGAGGGTGCTCAGTTTTGATACATGGCAGAAGTTTACTGTTACAAAACTGCAAGATGTTATTACGGAGTATCCTACATTCAGCAAAATGGTCAATACACTTACGAAGGAGAAGCATCGAGATGCCTTGGATCTCCTTCAATCATACAGTAACGTGCAAAAGTATCCTACCGCCTGTATCACATGAACATACATAATAACAACCCCTTAAATTTTCCTGAA